TCAGTGCGTATGTATGAATTTTGTATGTTTACAGTATAGATACAAATGCATACATTGCATAACAGTATACCCACAGGCCGTATGTTGATAAACAGATATTTATCTTGGTATATCTACGTACCCCCCAAAAAAACAAAGATAATTGTTGCACAAACAATCGAAGAAGTAACAGTCGGAGGACAGAGAAGGGGTAATGGATAGCATTAATTAGAGTGAAAATCTCGGCGTGTGAGGGTTGGATTGAGCAACAGAAGAGAGTGGTGGTGTGTCCAGTGACCTTCACGCTTTCATCCCTTCGTAGATTGATGGATAGATGGATGCACAGATAGATATATAGATGGTAGATGGACAAAGAGATGGTGGTTGGAGAGGTGGATTTAGATACGTCGATATATATATAGATGGAAGATGGGCAAAGAGATGGTGGTTGGAGAAGTGGATTTAGATACGTCGATAGATATAGAGATGGAAGATGGACAAAGAGATGGTTGTTGGAGAGATAGATTTATTGGCTGGATAGATAAATATTTGCATGGTGGATGGTTAGATAGATGGAATATGGATGTGTGCTTATTAGATAGGTTATATGGTGGATGGATAGATGGCTGGATACATGGAGATGAATAGATTGACAATTGATGGATAGCTTGGTACATACATGGAGAGGGGTATATGAAAAGATAGATGATGGATAGATATATTGAGATAAATAAATATATGATGGATGGATAGATGGATACATGCATGGAGATGAATAGATAGATGATGGATGGAGAGAGGCATACATACATAGGGATGCATCGATAGATGGCAATGATTTGATAGATGATAGATGGATGTGTAGATGATGGTTAAAGAGATGGATACACTGATGATGGATAAATAAATGGATACAGAGATCTACACAGATATAAAATGGTTGAATATATAGATATTGATTTAAGAAATTGACACATAAATGTATTTATTAATGGATACATAATTCTACGTAGATAGTTAATGGATGGTTATATAGATGTTGGATGGAGATATGGATACATGTAAGTTGGATGGCTAGATGGCTAGACAGATGGACGAATGGTTGGTGCGGTGATGGATACATACGAACCAGATGGCTCTATTCATACATAAATGATGGATGTATACATAGATGAAGCGATGTGGATGGATAGATGGATGATAGGGAAATATAGATGGTTTATGGATAGATCATAAGCAAGTGAATAAATGAACTAGTAAGTTGAAAGATAAATTCGTTGATGAATGTACGATTGGGCAGAACAATAGTCTCCAAAGAATTGGTAAATTGATGAATGATAAATAAATAGATGTAGGAATGGACGATAGTTAAGAAATAATGAATAGGAAGAAATATATGGGACGCTCAAAGACAGTCCGATAAAAAGGCAGGTGGATAGAATGATGTAATAATGAATCAAATATTGAACCGGTGGAGTTGTAAATTGAAAGGACATATGGCTGCACTTCAAGAATAGATATTCATTTGAAGAATATATTAAAAAATATATTAGAAAAATAGATGAAAATATTTCTAAGATGTTTGGGTGAATACATTGACAGATAAGTGGATAACATCGAAAATCGACTTTTTAATTAGCGGATAAGTTCAATATAAATAAATTATTATTTATTTCGATTAACTAATAGATAAATAGTATACCGTGCATAGATACAATGATTTAAATGTAAGAGAGATTAATGAAGTTGCTGCTTTATTAAAATCAGTCAGTTGATTGCATCGGTATAATATTACTTTTACATACAGTGAAAACTTACACGTGTGAAGCCTTTTTTTTGAAGTACCTGAGTCTGCACTAACTTGAAACATTAAACTGGATCACTTGCTGCATGTATAATTTTACCCTACGTATGTCTATATTTTTTTTTTTTTCATAAATTACATAATGATTAACTACTAGATCGTGTTGTACTCGGTTGATAAAGTGCTAAGTACAGGGGTTGATATCAGTAACCTTGATAAAAATGACTTTACCGACTGATGGAGGGTAAATTTCTGTATTATTTTGGAGAATTTATTTACATTGAGTTTATAAAAGTAATTTTAATTCCCTAGATTAAAATAGATCAAGATGTAAATCAATAGTATAACAAATAGCTCTAAAGAAATGCTTACGATAACGTGGAAAAGTTGAAATAATTATCTAGCAGTTTAATAGATAAATATAATTTCCTAAAATACAGTGAATCAAAATAAGACGATAAGAAAAAAAATATATATATCCCATAGAATTTCCTAAAATACAGTGAATCAAAACAAGGCGATAAGAAAAAATATATATATCCCACAGAATTTCCTAAAATACAGTGAATCAAAACAAGACGATAAGAAAAAATATATATATCCCATAGAATTTCCTAAAATACAGTGAATCAAAACAAGACGAAAAGAAAATATATATATATCCCAAGAAAATAAACTTGTACCGTAATGTGATCCCGAGAAAAACCCGTCGTAAAGTAATCGTTTGTTGACATGTACGTCACCAGTGATCCACGATGGCGACGTCGAAGGACTTTGCGGTTCTCGATTTACAGGTAAATTTACGAAAAAAGTTTATTTTTTACAGGTATTTAAAGATGACGACTTGCGTAGAGGGTAACTATTGTTAAAGCCGATACATTGGTAAGTATATTTTTCATGGTGGAATGTTATAATTCGTAAAAAAATACAATAGTCCTTGTCAACTTCGCCAACGTCATCAGCTGTGATGTCAATAAATAAGATACTGCGAAGGTTTAATCGTAGATGAATTTATTTCGTTTTTGGATAAGAAGTACACGTTTTATGTATAGTGTTGGATTAATTTGATTTGTTTTGTAATGTTATATAAACAAAGTATATTATCAAAATACAAATAGGAAAATGAAGCTTCTTTTTTTTTTTGTTATCGGGGCATTATCATTTTCTCTTATAGTTTTGTTAATTAGAATGATTTTGAGTTAAAACATTAATTAAGATGAATATAAATTGTACAAAGAGTTGTATGCCAGAAGTTACACAGGCAGGCAAGTTACTAACAGTTTTCAAGAGTGGGTCTGTATCCTTAACCCCTTCATGACGGGTCACACCATGAGGCGTAAAAACAAACTGCTCGATCTGTGGCCAAAGCCAGTGATTCTGCTTGATGTACCGAACTTCCTCGCTCAAAGTCGGCGCGGTGCCATTGATCTTTTTCAATTTTCTTCACCCATCACAGAGGGACTAAGGCACAGTCATACAAGCATATTATTCAGCAGCCTCTTTATGATATGATCTGCCATTCAATGTTACCCTGTAACAGGTTACATGGGGTGAATTGAACCTATGCCTGTTGCTTGCTTTCTGTGACGAACATGGTGTGTATGGTTGCCTGTGCAGCCCTTCTCACAGGTTATTTGTCATCTGCCGCAGGTTATCTGTAGAATTGGAGGTATAATGATTTGTAAAATTATGTAAATGGCTTCATTCATAGTCGCAGAGACGAAATAGCTAAAGTGTGTATTATTATCTGCTACAGGAACTTTGTTTGGAGGATGACTATAGGGAAGCTCCTTTGAGGAACTTGGGAGATGCATGTATGTAAACAGTGATGACATCACATATATTTTAAAATGGATATCCATGTAAATTTAACAAACACTTAAAAAATATAACAATGTAAAATGCAATATATATTTAACCCATTGCCGCCGGGGAAAATGAACAAAAAATGAGGAACATGCTGTGCCTATTTTCTATACTTTTTTGTTAAATGTCTGCCCATAGATGGCTCTTTTAGCGCCTGCTTTGAAATGGTGGGAAAAACGTATTTTTCACTAGTGCCATGAATATCGATGGTGTTATTTTTATTATAAACATTATAATTTTTATAATGTTTTTTAACATTAGTAACAGGAAAATAAGATAAGGTAAAATATTTCGTAAATCAAAGAAAAGGGTGAACGGGCGAGACAGGCGGTACTTGTAAGTGGCTCATTGGTGATTTAGTACAAGTGTAGCCATCTATGTGTGAAAACAATATAACAAGTAATCTCACAGTGGCCATGGCATGGCATGCCCAGCGGGAATGGGTTAATAAACATTAATTGTATATTAATATTATTATTTGTTGAGTATTCTTTACTTAAAAGATTACAGACACTCTTGCCATGTCTGCTTCACTAATTCCCTAATGGTACATATCATCCACTTCTACTTAAGACCAAGTAGTAGATTATGCAAACTCTGAAGATGAGAGAAAAGTTGAAGTTATCTCCAACTTATCCTTGATAAAACACACACATCTGACTGTCCCCTAATAGTTTATCTTCTGGTGAAGAGCAACAGCATACATGGGTGGTTGGGAAGGTATCAGACCTTTAGTTTCTGTCGGATATGTGTGGCTACAATACTATTATTGGAAAATTGTGAAATTCTTTGGAAACACAAGTATCACTGTCAATAAACTTTGCTTCTGAAAGGCGCAGTGAGTACTCTGATAACACTTTTTAATTGTAAAGTATATTTGACTTTGTTGAAGAGTCTACATATAGTTCATTAAGTTTGGTAGCATTTGAAATTCATTTACCAAGCTTACATTTCCTCTAGATTAACAAGGACCTCTGCTGATGTGTAGTCCTCTTGTAAACTATTAATGAATTATGTATGTATATGTTTTTGTTAGTGTTAGGGAGCTGCACCTTTTGGGGGGGACTGCCAATACCCAAACCCCTGCCTGGAATGCAAAATCACTACCCTATCTGACTGACAAGTTAGAGTATGTCAGGTGTAAGTTACATGCCACATTAGATACATTACAATTCAGTTGGCTTGACAAGTTAAATATCTCTCCTTGCATGGTCTTGATTTATTATTTGAATATTTTGCTATTATGTTGGTTTTAATGGTTCCAGTGACTAATAGTCCTATATTTGGTTATAAAACATCAATATGAGCCAGCAGTACCAAATTTGGTAGGGTTTTATTATATAGACCTATT